AAATAAATTAATTAAGTGTAGGAGAGCCATACAAAATACCTACGTGCGTGGAACGTCTCGCATTATGTCTCGCCGTGTGAATAAGGTTACCAGGAGGCGCAAAATCTTCTTATTCCATACCATCAATTTCTGAACAACCCACTCTTATTTATTTAATTCATCAAACCCCAATCGAACGCCGCTGTTAGCGCAATTAGTGTTTTTTTATTTTGTTTCGAATTACCACGACCGAAAGGTAAAATACTTTTTCCACATTATTGTTCAATGATGGGCCTAAAGCCGTAGACAGTCTACTTTAGGATGATACAGACATAGGTCATGGTAGGTGCCACAGTGTCGTGGTGGCCCGGAGGTTGAGGAGCCCGCTTCTCATGCATGAGGGTGTGGGTTCGAAACCTGGCAAGTACCAATGTGACTTTTTCCGAGTTATATGTACTTTCTTTGATTATTTAGACACCACTGGCATACGGTGAAGGTAAACATCGTGAGGAAACCTAGACTTATAATTTCTAATTATAAGTTTGAAATCGCCAACCCGCATTGACCAAGCGTGGTGATCAATGCTCTAACCGTCTCTGTATGAGAAGAGGCCATTGCGCAGCAGTGGGCACTTATAGGCTGATGATGATGATGATGAGGTGCCACAGCTAAAAGAACAAGCAAATATCTTACTAACTTTTGTGTTACAAAAAAGAAGAGCAACGTACTTGAAACTCCTTTGGTGTTCCGGATGTCTATGAGCAACGCCGATAGCTTACCATCAGGTGCACGTCTGCACGTTTATTATGAGCAAATCCCATAAAAAAGAATTGACAATCCGAAATCTCTATCTCTATTGTTACCAGAAGCTACTGAAGGCCGAAATTAGTATAGTTTTGATCTGTTTGCGACTTTATAAGCGAGTTATAACTATATTATTTTCCCTTTATTGATGGAATTACGTATAATCCTTTCCCTACCCTTCCATAGCGTGCACAGCTCGCTACACGCAACAACAAAAAATATAATTTGTAAGCTTTCATTCAATGGTTTCAATTTCATCTCTTCATAAAGATCTTAAAAACTTCTTTAGTCAAAGACATCGAAATGAAAGAAAACGTTACAATATATCACGAATTTTCTTTTAAAAACGTCTAGAACAATGATATAACATAATAAAACCGACTACTGGTTATAAAAAAAACTCCTTAGTCACTTGTAAATCCTTTTAAATTGTCTGTCTATATTAGCCTCAATAAAATTATTAATGCTTTATCAAACATAGGTACCATCTCACGTACAGAAATAATCTTTCTAATCTGTGGCAAGTGTCAATTGAGTCTCGTATGTCAGATAAAAGTTTACGTGTCGAGTGACACTAACCACTTATAATGATTAGATATCTTAGAAAATAAACTAAACGCTGTTGTTGAGTTTAAATTATTTTATTACGTGTAACAATGTTAAGTTTATGATTGTTTTATATTTTTAAAGTACTTGAATACTTTTCTTAATATTATTATTTGACCTTCGTCAAGCATATTTAAAAAAGTTAGGTTATTTATTTGTTTTCTTTTTTCGATGGTAATTTTGACGCGTACCATTTTTGTTTTTTTATGTAAAAAGTCGGCTAACGAGCTGATGGATTACCTGATGGTAAGCAATCAGCGCCGCCCACGGACACCCGCAACAAAGGAGTTACGAGTGCGTTGCCGACCTTTTAGTGATTAGGGTTTTGGAGATTTATGGATTGGGGCGGGATTGGGGTAGGGGAAGGATTGGGCATCCGGTAACCTCACTTACACGGCGAAACACAACGCTGTGGTTATATCACGCCGGTTTTCTGTGAGGTTTATGAAAAGGAGAGGTTATCTGACAATGGGAGAAATTATTAATTATGCTATGGCTATAAAGCAGACACAACATACTAATTGTAGAAAATAAGTTTTAAAATTTAGGATCCATTTTGTTTTTGACGCTATCCGCCAATTATCGAGATCGAGGAAGGCTGGATGTACTTAAGTCATTACTATAATGGTATTAGATAGAAGTCCGACGCAATCGCATGAAATTGCGCGGGAAATAACAACTAACAATAGAATTCAAATCGAGTTCAAATAAGGAACTCGACATCCCTTTAAACAATGACACAAAATCAATAAATACCTAAATTTGGAACGCATAACCTTAAAAGTTTGAAACACAAAACCTAAACCTAGTTTGACAACATACAGTATAATTAATTAATTATCAACAAACACAGAAAATGGAGGTAGGTATGTCAATTTGTTTGTGATTGTCAAATATATGATTGTGATTACACATCTACTGTATTTAGTATTGAATTTGATTGTTTAACACAAAATAATGTGAGTCATTTATATTATTTGGAACATTATTCTGTTTACTGTGAATGGATGTAGTTAACAAAGTTTTTTTTTATGAGTAAACACATAATCGTTGTTAATTAAATAAAGCTGCTGTTAGTTATCGAAAGTACATACACATACCATTGACACTATTTGTTTACCTACTTACAAAGAAAAACTTAACGCCATCTTGAATGAATCGACGCAAAATGAAACAAAAATTTACTTATTTTTTTTTACTTTTTTTAAAATTTTATTATCTATATTAGGTTTAATAATTAATCTAAATAACGATGTTTTACATAAAAACTTAAAACTTACAACAACTTATATAAAAATATTTTAAGAGAATTCCTTTCATATTTCATCAAATACTTCAATACAACAGATTAAGCAATATTTGTTATTTTTTTGTGAGGGGAAAATCATCGAATGACTTCTTCCGCCTAGGGCCGGGCGGGAGGGAGTGTCAGACTCTTATTGACTAAAAACCTTTGTTCCTTCTTCTGCTCTGGGCAGAGGTCGCGGTGCCTCATTGCGCTTATCCCGCAACCCCGGCTGAAGCAATATTTGGATACGGTATTCATTAAAACTATTTTCCTTGTATTATCTGTTTGTCGAAATAAAGCATTTAAATATTTAGTAGGTAGTTTACATTGTAATTAGACCGTGTTTATTTATAAATAAAGAGTACACAGCATGTCAATTTAACATTTGAAATTATGCCAGAAATACTTCAATGACTTTCGAATCTTCGAGTGAGTTCGTTCTCGCGAACTATCCTTGCATTTTAAGTTCCATGTTTTAAGATTGGGGATGAATTCAGGGATTAGAGAGAGAGGGGAAGGTTTAGGCCTCTGTTAACCTTAATAATGTTATTATGCATATGTTATTATGCAGTTAAGGATTTTTTAGAAAATAAGTAATGTGTAACTTTTATATATTTTTTGCTGTTAACTTGTAATTTTGTTTTAATTAATAATGTACTAGCCCAAATGGGCCTTGATTATTGTATGCCCAAACGGGCTGATTGTTGTACTGAATACCACTATAAATATGTATAACACCTGTAACCAACACAACACAATAAAGAATACTTTTCTTTATAACAGGGCGAGACACAATATACAAGACTTACAGGAACTGACTATAAAATAATTGAACGCCCTTCGGTTAAATAAAAAGGCTCATGTTACCTATGTATAAAACTTAATAATAAATCAAGAATTTCTAAATTTAATTTATAAACAACTATAAAATAGGAAAACTTGCAAATAATGCAATACGAAAATAAATTACGAAATATTTATTAAACGTAGTTACTTATTTGCCGCCGTTTTCAAACTGTCAAGGCATCGACCTTTGTACTCTGAATAAATTGATGACAAAGGAAACACATTGTTGTGCCTCTTTGTCACAATTTTAAGTCGCAGTTTATTTTTATAAAGTAAAATGTAGGTATTGACTAGGTAGTTTCCTGGCGATTCTTTTGTTCGTATTTATTTCCTGAAGGAAAATAAATAAAGTAGTTTTGTAGGTAACGCCTTGAACTACTTTTGTAGTTAGGTTTTTATTCACATCGTAACAATTAGTTGTCTATGCCTTATGACATTATTTTTTCAACAATATGGCGGACGGTAGAATGATTTCGACCTAAGCTATTTTTTTAGATTGTGGTATAAGCTAAATTATTATACCTTTAGGTAAATAAATAAGTCGATTGAATACGCAACTAAATAAAAGACAAAAATATTAACAAAAGATTCCATTTGCATCCTTCTTGGACGTTTTGATAAAATCTTTAGAACTGTCTGAAAATAAGTGCACAAAAGTAATCGGTATTATCATTATTAACACTAAAAACGGCTCTACAACTTATCGACAAGGGCGTTTTTCGTATATCAACAATTATTTGACGTATGTCACTGTTTAAAAAATAAAAGTTAGGTACAGATAAAATTACGAGGAATTAAAAAAAAAGAATAAGTACAATGATTCTTTGAATTTGGTATGTTGAAAAGTTTCTGAGAAGAGCCATGTTTAAAATACTGTTAAAAGACTACGTATGTATTCGTTTAGATTGTAATCATAAAATAAGCTAAATTATATTTGGTTGACGCTATGGATTAAACCGCACATAAGATATGCATAAAGACACGTTTCAACTCTACATTCCGTAATGAATGAACTGACCATAGATAATATGTTTTAGGTACCTAAATTGTTTGCAGCACATTATTAAATATCGAAGCGAGACATAACATCGATTTTTGCAAATAATATTAAATATGTTCGCCTATTTAATGTTATGTTGCACTAGCTTCCGCCCGCGGCTTCGTCCGCCTGTTATGTTGATAAAAAGCAAAGCAACCAAAGCCTATGTGTTAACCTAGGGTATCTGTCTACATACCGCAAATTTCAACCAAACCGGTCAAGCAGTTTATGCGATAAAGAATAACAAACTTGAAGTATATTACTTGGATGTATATCGATACATTCTCACAAACATTCATATAATATTAGAAGGATTAGTAGGATAGTAGGATTGGTAGGATAGTAGGAACGGTAGGATAGTAGGATCGGTAGGATAGTAGGATAAAGATAGATAAAACTATATACCTACTTAATGTTCTCATCATGTTTTGTCCCCAGGCCACGTGAACCCGGTAACGATTCCCAAGGAATGGGTGACGATGCACCGCAACTGCCGCATGTCGATGAGGCAGCAGATCCAGATGGAGGTCACCGCCTCCCTACAGTACTTGGCTATGGGCGCCCACTTCTCTAAGGATGTTGTAAGTAAACTCATCAAGCGATTTTTTTTATGTGATGAGTCTGCTAACGAGCCAACGTATTACCGAATGATAAGCAATCAGCGTCGCCCATGGACACCCGCAACGACGGAGCAGTTACGAGTGCGTTGCCGACCTTTTGGGGATTAGGGATTTGGAGACTTTCGGAATGAGGAGGGATTGGGGTAGGGGAAGGATTGGGCCTGCAGTAACCTCATTCATACGGCGAAACACAACGCTGTGGTTGTTTCACGCTGGTTTTCTGTGAGGCCGTAGTATCACTTCGGTCGAGCCGACCCATTCGTGCCGAAGCATGGCTCTCCCACACTTAAACCTTTAAACCCCGTAAGACCTTCTTACATCATTGTTACTTAATGTTAACTTTGTGTTCAGGTAAACCGTCCAGGTTTCGCCAAGATGTTCTTCGATGCTGCCTCAGAAGAACGCGAGCATGCAATGAAGCTGATCGAATACCTGCTCATGAGAGGAGAACTGACTTCTGACGTCACCAGTTTGCTGCAAGTCCGGGTAAGCTTTTTTTTAAATAAAAAACACTGTCACTATGATTTTCTCCTGTGACGTGAGTGCGCTTACAAATTCACATCCACAATCCACCCAGACCTAAAACAACGATTTGTACATGACACCGTGCTGTTACATGCGGGAATTGAACCTGCGATACGTAGCACAGCAGCCAGTTGCCCAGCTACAGAGCCAGCCGTTTAAAAGCCGTTTGCATATAAAGGATAATGATTACCTATTTGTTTGTTAAATACGCACTGAAAAGACCGTTGTAATCAATACTCTTTTCATTCTTAATCATCACCAGCTTATAAGTGCCCACTGCTAAACTAAGGCCTCTTCTCACACACAGCGACGATTTGATAGGTAACCACCACGCTTGCTCAAGGCAGATTCGCGATTTCAAACTTACGATTAGAAATAATAAGTCCAAGCCTCCTCACGATGCTTTCCTTCACCGTATGTCAGTGGTGTCTAAATAATCATAGAAAGTACATATAACTCGGAAAAAGTCACATCGGTACTTACCAGGTTTCGAACCCTCATGGATGACAATTCCTTAACTTCCAGGCCTGGTCTAGTACAACGGTTTTTAATTTCAATCCTAGCATCCCTACAGATCTGATAATCCTTGATTTGCCCCCTCAGGCCCCTGAGCGTAAGACCTGGGAAGGTGGTGTGGAGGCCCTGGAGCATGCCCTGCTGATGGAGAGCGCCGTCACCAAGAGCATCAGGAACGTCATCAAGGCCTGCGAGGATGACAGCGAGTTCAACGATTACCATGTAAGTTTTTATAAGATACTACATACCTACATACAAATTGTTCTCAAATCTGGATTATCTGTGTCAACGACAGTTCGATCTTATGCTTGCTCGTTCTTTTCCTACAACACTTTGGAACTTGCAAATACGTTCACTAGAGGACTGACCTACAGACTGTCGCACAAAAAGTTGAACTTTTAGAAATTTTTTTTTTGTTTGTCGTTCAAAAGTCTATTTGGGATATCTAAATGATTTGACTTGACTTTTTGAGGCTACTTTACTAAAGAGTTGTTTTGGTCATAATCTCCTCGTTATTCAGAATGTCAGTTTATAAAGTTCAGGCTTATCAGAGAGTGCTGCTGCTGGCTCTTTTAAAAGTATAATCCCGTAATCTGCTCTTACGTAATCCACGGAAAGAGAAGCGTTGATAGAAAATTCTAAACTAATCTAACTAGATATTAACCTTAAAAATCTATTCACAGCTGGTCGATTACCTGACTGGAGACTTCTTGGAGGAACAATACAAGGGTCAACGCGACATTGCGGGCAAAGCCTCCACCCTCAAGAAACTCCTCGACCGCCACGGTGCCCTCGGAGAGTTCATCTTCGACAAGAAACTCATTGGCATTGACATCTAAGCCAATCAATATAACTATTTTATATAACCTCTTTCATTTGCCATGTATTAAAAAAAAAACACAAATTTGTCTATTACATCTTTTGACGTAGTGAAAAAAAAACGAAAATATAAATATATGGCGTATTAAAATATAAATTGTAATAAAATAAATGTAATCATGTTCTCTTTTTTAGTTTAAATTGGAATTAAATAGATAACCAAGTTCACAAAATACTTTATTTAGCTACTCCCGTAGGTTATTGTACAAAAATATTAGTGATTAAGCGTATTATCTTCTTTATATTTAGATTACAAAACATATACTCCACTATAGTTTGTATCCAGTCAATTATTCGCGCCTTTTTCTGACGTTTATAAATCATCGCTACAAAATTCAAAATGGCGCTTTTAAACTACGTATTTTTTTATTAAATTATTGTAAACGTAATCTTCACGAACAATTTGGTAACAAATGGTGCGTGTCTACAAAAATATGGCTGTTCATTATTATTTTGTTTAATTATTTCGTAAAATAAAGTTGATCCGTATAAAAAGAAGTGTTTTATTTAAGTTCACTGTGGTTCTTACAGACAGGTACATAGCAGTTGACAAAATCCTAACTAAAAATATGATTTTTAACCTGGGAATTGAAATAAACGGCGCAGTTACGCTTGCAAGTGTTCTTTCAAAAATTTGAGACTCACCCCCGGTTTCCGAAGGGCCGATCAATGTTTAAATCAATTTAATCTCTTGTCAAGTCATCTGATTGGTTGACTAATTTTATCGACAACCAATCAGATGACTTGACAAGAGATTTAACAGGAGATTAGTTAATTTTAGCGTTGACAAGACTTTCAGAAACCGGGTTTCAGATTCGGAACGAATGAAATGAACGAGCTAACCCAGCTCGTCATAGCTTCACAGGATACAGTAGTGGCTAACTAGGGCCTTGCGTTTCGCTTATGTGAACAAGACAACCGGAGCCCTATCTTGAAGGGGTCCAATCCTCAAATCCCTTACTCCTGAAAGGCCGGCAATGCTCTTATGAAATTCGCCGATTGCTTACCATCAGGTAACCAAGGGGTATTTAGTTCTATAAACTCGTTTGCCGTCCTGCCATAAAAACAGTTTCGAGGAATGAAGCAATATAATCACAACGTTAGGCATCTCCTGCGGAAGGAGGTCGACCGCGTGAGGGGGCTATTCTCCTCACGCCCCAGCCGCCGCAGTAGGCGACACTTCGGGCGTCGGGGATTGAGAGACGATCTCCGGCCACCGTAAGCGCGGGTCTGCAGACGGCTAGTAGGGTAGCTCCCCGTCCAGAACCAAACCGGAGCGGACGGTGCGTAGCGTTTCACGCGCGTCCTAAAGAGCCAATAGAACACCACAGACGGGGCTCCATAGGGCTGGCTGATATTCAGCTAGACTTGCGGGGTAAGCGCAATGTGTGACCGCGGCCTCGACTCAGAGCAGGAGAAGGAACGAGGGGTTTTTAGTCAGTAAGAGTGTGACACTCCCTAGGGCTCGACCTTGGGCGGGAGAAGTCATTGGATGATTTTCAGCTCACAAAACCTGGTGGTACCTATATACGTATTCAAGATAAATGGTCTAACCTGGCACAGGTCCTATGCCTCCTCATCTCCCTGGACAGCGATACACGAGAGAGTATGCTAAAGTTATTTGTAGGTACCTTAGTACGTCAATATTTTGAGATAAAAGATTTTTCGAAGACAAACGAGCAAACGGATTACCTGATGGTAAGCAATTAGCGCCGCTTACGGACACCCGCAACACCAAACTTGTTATGAGTGCGTTGCCGGACTTTTAGGGATAAGGGCTTTGGATATTTAAGGATTGAGAAGGGATGGGGGAAGGGGGAGGGATTGGGCCTCCGGTAAACTCACTCACACGGCGAAATACAACACAATACGGCATTTCACGCCGGTTTTTTGTGAGGCCGTAGTATCACTCCGATTAGCGTTGCCAGGCGTCCGGATAAAGCCGGACATAGATAGTTAGGCTTTTTGATTGCTAGTCCGGCCAAAATAATCGGTGTCCGGCCTGTCCGGCTTTTGTTAGGCTTTTTACTTTACCTAAACTTTTCACAATCGCAAACGAGTGAAACGAAACCCCGAACATGGCTGGAGCGAAGCAAACACTTAGACTTATTAATTATTTCATAAGAATTCAACAAGATTTATGACAATAATCAAAAATACTTGATTTAGATAAAATCTTGTCGTACCTATTAATACTGAGATACAAAATCCTTAAGAATGTAGGGTGTCCGGCCTTTTTAGCCAAATGTCCGGCTAAGCGGGCTGGTCTGTCTGAGGCGACCCATACGTGCCGAAGCTTGCCTCTCCCACACTCCCACACTTGTGGATAATTTATTCGTCAAAATTAATTGGCATAGTAGTATTGACAGACATAAGTACAAATAACACAAGACCTTACCTTTAATTAAGATTTATTTAACTATTTTAAATACCAAACTTAACAATGTCTAAAAACTAAAAATAAATTCCTAAACAAGTAGGTACTGAAATTCATAACTTAAAAGGTATTCTAGATTAAAAACATTATTTTTTATAATTAAAACAAATGCTCCGCCATCTACCCTCAACTTTTCCCGCGCATAATTAAACGTCAATGACAATCAGACTAATAACAGATAAAAAATGACAAAAATTATCCATTTTTAACATCATCATGCATATTTAACAAACCCTTTTTTGCTTCTAAATTTTTTTTATGTATCATTTCAGATTTTTTCGGTCCCCGTTTCATTATAAGCTCTTGTGGAATCGGCATTTGTCCTTGTATATCGACACCAGGTCCCGCTTTAAGTTTGTGGCGGAAATCAGTCTTTCGATAAATACTTTCTGACTCAATGAGCCGATTCGTTTGTTTGTAAAAGTGAAAATCCCTGAAATCATAAATAAACAAACATATTTTTTAAATAAATAAAAAATATTTATCACCTGATGGCAAGCAATCGTGGCCCATGGAAGACCATACCTAACACTATAGTAGTTAGGAATGCGTTGTCGTTCTTTAATGCTCTAACCTTCTCTGTACGAGAAGAGGCCTTTGCTCAGCAGTGGGCACTTATAGGGTGATAATGATGATGATGAATAATGTCGTTCTTTTGCTACCTACTTACGCTGAATTGCGGTTTTAAGATTTACAATAACTCTTAAGTGAGGATAGGTAGGTACTTATTGTGGCAGACGGAATGCTACGAACCCTACACCGAGCGAAGCCCGATACGCTCTTGGCCGGTTTTTGAGATTTGGGGAATAGAATTTGGAGGGCAAAGATTGGGCCTGCAATAATCTTACTTATGTTCATGTTGATTTTTTGAGAGACTGCGGTAACATTTTGGTTAGACGAGCTGGCCCGTTCCTGCTTTAGTTTCAATTCTGATCAAGTATTTGTATATCCGAACTTCCTTGCTAGTTCATCACGTTTGGAGCAACCTCGCCTCGCATGGCTACCTCGCTTTGAACCTACTACGAATCTATACTAATATTATAAAGAGGAAGTATTCGTAATTTTTTTTTCTTTTTTTTTTATTTAATAGGTCGGCAAACGAGCAGACGGATTACCTGATGGTAAGCAATCAGCGCCGCCCATGGACACTCGCAACGGAGGAGTTACGAGTGCATTGCCGACCTTGTAGGGATTAGGGATTTGGAGATTTAGGGATTTAGGAGGGATTGGGGGAGAGGAAGGATTGGGCCTCCGGTAACCTCACTCACACGGCGAAACACAACGCTGTGGTTATTTTTATATAATTTGCATGTAGGGAGTAATATTCGGAACTGCTCGGATCCGATTTCTAAAATTCTTTCACTGATAGATAGCTATAATGTTAATGAGTAGTATGACTATGAAATATCATCTTACGATTAACAGGAGCGGGTGAAATGGCTCGGCAGTGGCTAGTATTTAATAAAATAAAATGGACATTACCTGACGCAAATAAACGCAAAAGGTTCAAATTGGCGTAAGTGAAAATCTTTGACGTAGGAGCGCCATCTACATTTGAGGAACTCATTGTTGTTCAAAGAATAGTATTTCTTGTACTTGTATTCGAAAAGTGCTTTTTCAAATAGTGGCAGAACTCGGAAATTATTGCCGACAGATTCTACGAATTCTGTAAATATAAATGCATATTTTTAGGGTAAAGTTAATCGTTTTCAAGGATTTTAGAAGTAATAACTTTTTAAAGGGATAATGATACAACTGGTCGCAAAGTTCTTTATACTCCATTGAAAAGGCTCCTCCGACTAGACAAAGTGTTGTGTCTGGTGGGCTACTACCCGACGGTTGTTGTCGGGATACTTGTTCTAATTGCGTTGAGAAATGTTATACCGTGTACAAACTTGAATGTGATTAGTGCTGTTGCTGCGTGCTTTGCGGTAGATGTCGCTACAACTTCTTTATCGTCACAGTATTGCACTAAGGCGTAAAGATCAGTTTTCAAATGATGACTCCAGAGTCCGGAGTAGGTATAGTTGAGATTCATTCCATACTACTTTGCAACGTTGTACGCGTGTTCAAAAAAAAAATTAAATAATAATTTGAATACAAAAAAAATATTATATTCTAAAAGTATCGAGAACCCGTAGAGTCCCACGGGTTGTCGAGATATTGAAGGTCAAAGATGCATTTTTATTTTTTATTTTATACCGCAATCGAATTCTAGTATTATTACAAAACTTTTTTCCAAACAAACATTACCTGAATTTTCGAATTTTCTAAATAAATTACGCTTTTGAAGTTACGAACAGTAATGTACGTAATAAATAAATGCAGACCCGCACAAAAAACATCGTGCATCTCAGTAGGATTTTTATTTTACGGAATTGTTTTGTTGTTGCGAAGTAAACGTCGACCTACGTACTTATCACAGCGTTTTCATGCTAAGCTGTGAACCTACGCACACAATGACACGAAGTCCATTTGCTTCACATTGCGCGCAATAATTTTTTTTTTTAAAAACCTAAAAATAAAAGTCGTTTCCCAGTGATAATTTTAGCGTAAAGCTACTTAGTTAGAACTGCAGTATAAAATTTAATATAATTAAAAAAACTTAAGTACTATTTATAAATAAGTAATAAAAGTTGGCCAACACAATCATTGTCTGGTTGCGCATTCTGACTGCGACATTTTTTTTACCAAACTCGTTCGGTCGGTTCAGTAGCGGAAGGTGAGTTACGGCTCACAATTGGTAGATATAGGTATAAAGGCAAGAAAACCACCATAGTTGGATCTCGCTCCATCCTCAAATTTACTTAGGCCTGGCGCCGCATACGACTTTTAAGCAGTCCAGAACCATTATCTACCACATTATAATATGTACCTACTTAGGTACTATCGAACCAGATAACTTATTAGGTTTTGGACATTCTGCAAAAGAACAATGAAACAATCTCCTTGAAATACCTACACTACCGCTTATCAGTTATTAGGTACGTTTTAGACTTATCTGTTGGCATAGAAACACAGAATCAATCGTCTTGAACAAGATGTTTATCACGTTTTTAACTTCTGCATAGAAACCAGAAAGCAACATCTTAAAAAAGACGTCTGAGATTCAGTATGGAAACGCGCACACTCTTTGAGGAGTGGCTAAAAAGACGTTATGGCATCCTCACCTTCCGCCTGACGCAGGTGCTTATCGGAAACGGAATCTTCGGTAGGTATCTATTTCAGATCTAGCGGGAGGAACCGCCTGGGTGTTTTGTCCGTTGAGGACTACCCGGGGGACACGCTGTCAGTCGCAGTCATCTTCTCTTTCTAAGAAGCAGTGATGCTCGCAAAGAAGGAAGCGGAGCGCCTAAGGGAAATATCCTTCTCACACCCCAGCCGCTGCAGTAGAAGACACAGCAAGGAGGTTCACCACCCGACCAACACCACAGCCACGGTCGAGCGTACGGCGCGGATTGTTCCGCGCGCAACTTGAAGAGTCAACAGACCACCACAGATCAGGCCCAATAGGGCTGATGTTTAGGAAGGGTTGCGGTCAAGCGCAATATACCGCGGCGTCGGCCTAGAGCAGAAGAAGGAACGTCGTGGCTTTTAGTCAGCTGGAGTCTAAATCTGCATCTCCCCCCATCCAAGGCGGGAAAAGTCATTTACTTATTCATTTTTATACCTCCATAAAGACTCAGTTGAGAAATATGGGACAGTTAACACAGACGCAGCCCGAACGATATCAGAATTTCGTACTGCATCGAAAGAAGCGGTTTATAAGCGCAAACCCAATAGCTGGAGCCACCGGAGCAGGCGAACTAAACAAGTAGGAACACCAGCAACAACCGATGTATCTTCATCTGCACTCGACAACAGCCGATATTTAAGCCCTTGTTACGATTTAGGGCGCGTTGAGAAACTGCCTGCGCGTGCGCCTCGCGCAGTGGCTCATCGCTATAGGTCGAGAAAAACTTGGATGGTATATACCTATTTAAATAGGACATTTCTGTGAATAAAATCAGTCGTGGTTACCAGTGGTAGCATAATTATTTCAAAGAATTACTCACTCTACCCAGCTCTTAAAAAATATTTCCATGATAGATGCTTATACATTTCGGGGGTTTAATGTTTTGAATTTTTTACCTTTATTCACTTCTATTTCAGGAGATTCTCGTTCCATTGTACATTCTGGGTAAGTATTTTTCTTCTTCATTTTGTTATAAACTATTAAGGATTACAAAATATATTAAAATAAATACTTAATAGCAATAAGCTTCAAAATATCGGAAAGTATGACAGATATTATACCAAAGTCTAGTATTACATAAACGTTTCTTTTTTCTCATGTATCAAATTATTATTTGATAACTTGATAACTTAATTTACCAAACAGTATTTTATTTATCAGCCTACTTGATTTGCTTATGCTGTAGAATCTAGATATGTGATATTTTTTAGGTTTTCAATCATAAAAGATAAAATCCTGTCGTTTATAACCAGGGAATATCTCATAACATTCATAGTTAGATAGTTTTAATTTTCATTTATCATTAAACTATTTATATTTTTTATGGATAGGACCGTCAACTAGCTCCCTATTCACCTGACAGTAAAAACTAGCCTATGGGTACCCATTACAACACCAAGGTAGCCTTTAAGTGTGGGAGAGCCATGCTTCGGTACGAATGGGACAGCTCGACCGGAGTGATACCACGGCCTCACAGAAAACCGGCGTGAAACAACCACAGCGTTGTATTTCGCCGAGTGAGTGAGGTTACTGAAAGCCAAATCCTCCCCCTCTGCAAATCCCTCCCCAATCCAAAATTCCTAATGCCCACAAGGTCGGTTACTTACTCGTAACTCCTCTCTTATTGCGAGTGTCCATGAATGGCGCTGATTGCTTACCATCAGGTATTTAATCCGTTTGCTCGTTTGCCGTTCTATCAATTTCTGCGCGTTCAATATAGTGATGCGCTGAGGATGCTGTTGGGACTGCCTCGATGGTGAATGGACCTGGAATGTTTGCAGAAGCTAGGGTAGATTACTTCTATACCATTATGCAAGCGATATGCATCCATGATGCGGCAATTGAGGGACAGTCCTAACAGTAGACTAGCTATATTGGCAGATAAAATTGATGGCCCGTTTATTAAACTGGGCAAGTAGACGTCAAGTAGAATGTGCGTCCTGATGTCCATGACAATAATTGATAAATAATTATGAAAATGTTAACTAATGTTTTCTACCTTATGGCTCTCTGCCCTGAAATAAAGAGTTTAACTTAATTTAAAGAGATGCAAGTCCTTTGCCGGCTTTTTCAAGGTTTTGCATTTGAAGATTGAGAGATTTGGGATGGGAGAAGAGGGATTGAGTCGCATATGTCTCAAGTCACTGATAGGTACAACGAAACAGAAAGAAAGTGTTGTTTTTTTTCTTGGTTTTTTTCTGAGGTCGTTTCAGTGACGGGAGTCATGTTACGACTTCGACATAAAAACAAATTAAAATGATATCAATTTTTTGCTCAATAGGTATCGATAACGTTATAGTAGCTGCTGAAAAAGAGATTCATAGAATATTCTTTGAGTTTTTAAAAAGAAACATTTGCTTTCTTGTAAAATTATTATAAATCTTGAGTGCTGTTTTAGTGGGCTAAAAGGAAGTGTTATATTCTTATTGACTAAGAACCATCCTGTTCCGGGCCAGGTAAGCAATAATAGTGTGGGAGAGCCATGCTTCGGCACGAATGGGTCGGCTCGAACAGGAGTGATACCACGGCCTCACAGAAAACCGGCGTGAATTAACCACAGCGTTGCGTTTCGCCGTATGAGTGAGGTTACCGGAAGCCCAATCCTTGCCCTCCCCCAATCCCTCCCTAATCCCTAAAAGGTCGGCAACGCACTCGTAACTCCTCCGTTGTGGGTGTCCATGGGCGGCGCTGATTGCTTACCATCAGGTAATCCGTCTGCCCGTTAGCCGATCTATCACATAAAATAAAAAAAAAAATAGGTACCGCCCACGGACACTCGTATCTAATAGCTACCTACTAAAAAGTTACTTTTGTGGGTAATTAGGAATTGGGAGGATTGAACCTCCGGTAACCGAACTCATACGGCGAAACGCAACGCTGTGGTTAATTCACGCCGGTTTTCTGTGAGGCCGTGGTATCACTCCGGTTGAGCCGACCCATTGATACCGAAACTTGCTCTCCCACACTTCTGAAATATACACACTTCTGAAGGTAGAAATATATTACTGAAGAAGATATTTTAAACATTAACTATGGCTAAAGACGGACGCGACGTCGCGTGTCTGTCGTATCGCGTGCTTTTAAAAGTATGAAACCGAGGCGTTCTGGCGTGACACGACCAGCTACGCCATGGTATTATTTAGGGCTGAAGGCGCACATGGAACGTGACGCGTTACACGTTCTGGTCTGGCTCTGTCCAAAGAGAATAAGGCACTACGTTTAGCTCTGTCTACGGATCATAGTATCTCTTGAGGCTAGCACGTGAGGAGGGCCGTTCATTCACTCGCTCCGCAAACTTCTGAGCTGAAATAGACAAAAACTTCTGAGTAGAAGGAGGACACGAGTTTCAAGTTCCTTTCGCTTCACATTTTAGCGTCAACTAAAGCCTAGCGTGAGAACACTAGAGCTGATTCTCGAAGTCGGAAATAATTCATCTGACAACCATTATTTTATTATGCTAAAAATCTTATAAAAGTTTGACATAAAGCATGAAACGCTTACTGACAGAATGTCAAAATCGATGTAAATAAAAAAGTTGTTGACATTGGGTGGTCGATTGGCTTGATGAAAATTATAGAAAATAAATAGAATTCATCAATTAAAAGTTCGTGTATATTGTTGAAAAATTGTTTTAAATATTCTTTTATCTGTTTTAAAATGGAAATAGATTTAAAAAACGTTATGGATGACTTACAATCGAATGTTATATGCCGATGTTGTTTAGATTCTGGTTGTTTTAAAAATGTTTTTACAGAATATCATTATTCAGATCAAAAGGAAGTGTATTCAGACATGTTGAAGGCTACATTTGATATTCAAGTAAGATTCCTAATGATTTTCATTGATAATCTTTAAAAAAACTACATTCCTATTAATACTCGCCGACACTTGCCTTACTACATTCTTGCGCACTCACTGACCTATAATTTTACGCAAAGTATGGCAATGTTGTATATTGCAATTTTAAAATTGGAAGGACTAGCTCACAAACTCTATTTTCTACATAGGTACCTGTAATGTACGCTGTTAGGAATGGTACATATAATGTATTTTTTACACATTTAAAATACACCTCAAAGGATTGTTTTAAAAATATGATCAATAGAACACCCCTAAATTGTAGGCCTTCTCTGGAGTATTCCGTTTTGATATCATACTACATACAAGAATGTATTTAGTCATTAAAGTTTTATTTAAAAATTTTGTTCATTGAATAATAATGCCTGCATGTTACAGTTTATATTGTAGAGACTTAATGCCTGTGAGAATGCCATATATATAATCAAAACAAATTAACTAATATTGCCTGTAGATATTTGCTTAACTAGCTCCTGCCCACAGCTTTACCCAGGTGTTATGGTGTCTAGCCTATGTGTTAATTCAGGATACCACCTATCTACATACTAAATGCCAACCAAATTGGCCCAGCAGTTCATGTGTTAAAGAATAACAAACATACATCAATACATTGACACACACTTTCACATAAAAATTTTTAGCTCAATATTAGTAGGATATGACATGTTAACCATCACAGTCGTGGTAGCCCGGAGGTTAAGCAGCCCTCTTCTCATGCATGAGGGTTCGAAACCTGGCAAGTACCAAAGTGACTTTTTCCGAAGTTATACGTACTTTCTATGATTATTTAGACACCACTGACATACGGTGAAGGTCCTCCTGAGGAAACCTGGACTTATAATTTCTAATTATAAGTTTGAATGCATTGCATTGAGCAAGCGTGGTGATAAATGCTCTAACCTTTTCAGTATGAGAAGAGGTCTTTGCTCAGCAGTGGGCACTTTGAACCATCACATAGGTCACAGGTGACCTATGGTATCGGAGGATTGACCATCAATAGTTTTCTTTTAGCAGTCAAAAGTTTAAAAGAGGTTTGTGGTTTATTACAGTTATCCGGAGACCTCCAGCCTACAGACCTACATATATGTGAATCATGTATCATCAAATTACGGGATGCTACAAAATTCAAACACATGGTTATACAGAATGAAGAACATTATAAACAGATTATTAGAAACATGAAATGGGAACAAGATACAGGTATTTATTTATTTATTTACTAGCTCTTGCCCGCGACTTTGTTCGCGTGTAAAAGTGACTTCCTGCAGATTTTTGTTTGGTTTAAAAACTATCCTATGTCCTTTCTCGAGTTACAAAATATGTCTGAACCAAATTTCACACAAATAGGTTTGGTAGTTTAGGCGTGAAGAAAAGATGGACAGACAGAGTTACTTTCGCATTTAGAATATTATATAGTTTGGATCGAAACAAATCCAATATTTGGATTAGTTTCGATTTAAGCTTTTGCACATACATCTGTGTACAAGGTGGACTTAATGCCACAGATATTCTCTACCAATCAAATTGAGGATATTACTGACAATTTATAATTATAATAGTGTGGGAGTCATGCTTCGGCACGAATGGGTGGGCTTGGGAGTGATACAGTAAGCAGTCAGTGCCGCACATGGACAATCGCAACATCGGAGGACCTAGGAGTTACGAGTACGACTTGCCGACTTTTTGGGGATTAAGGATTGGGCCTCCAGTTACCTCACTCGCACGGCGAAACACAACGCTGTGATTGTTTTACGCCGGCTTTTTTTACCGGTACCGCCGGTATCACTTATTAGGTTGAGCCGGTCCATTCGTGCTGAAGCTTGGCTCTCCTCACTTTCGTCCCACTTAGACTTTGACCATATCGAAACTTTTGCCTTCTGATTGGCTGAGTGCACTTGGAGCTAGCCAATCAGAGGGTCGAACGTCATAAACAAGTCTGAAACAATGAATTATTTTTTGCCAAAGACCTTGTACTTAAAACTAGACTGTGCACCAATTTTTTGTTTAGCTAAAATGTGCTTTATCCCGTTATGTATAGGGTAGCTATTTTCTTAAAAGCGTTAACAAACTAAAACCGGTCCAGGCGAGAGGGCTCCTCACGGTAGTGTGTCCTTGTCTCACATCTTGCCAGCTCAACTAAACTTAGGGGTTGGTAGAAATGGTAGAAAATTAAATATAATTATGTTTTATGTTTTAACAAAACAAACAATTCATAAACTACAAAACGTATATAAATGTCTTTATAGTCCTTATAATTAATAGTCAATTTGCGGTATTATACGAAAAATCATTAATACAGAGTAAACAGTAGTACTTGAATGTTTGTGTTTGGTAACAATTAATGCAAGATGGCGGTTTGCTGATTTCGGGTTAGGGTAACAATGAATTTTCTCGATCAAAGATTTTCTTACTATATCGCAGTAGATAGGCAGAAGATACGACTAACTGTTATACTTATATAATAGAATTTTTGAATGTTTTATAGAATTAGATAAAGTAATGTAAAAAATAATGCTTACCAAGCTTGTCAGAAAACAAAATTGTAATTATATTAATCTGAGGCTTCAACATGTGTTCAATGTAGTAAAGTATATAGAAAAACTTTTTTTGGTAATCTCTCCTGATTTACAGAGCTTGAATATAAATAAATGCTTAATATGATAGTACATCAATTCACCCCTAAAATTAAGCACCTTTTGCCTGCCCATCCAGCATCTGACGAATCCCACGAATTGGAACTGATTTAATGTATTGATAAAAAAAAACTTAAATTTAAGACATAAAAGCTACGGGAAGACTTTAAGCCTCAAGCATGTAGGAAATAGGGCTACATTATGACAAAAATTGCGTAAAACTGTATTGTTTAGCAATGTATAAAAATAAATCAATATTAAAAGAAAACAGTCTTTTTCATTCCACAATACTGCATCACATTCATTTGCCCTAACACTCATTTAATAATAATCCTCCTCATCATCTTAGCAAATGTTATCCCGGTTACATATGCTAAGCTTTCACCTAGGAACTTGCCAAGGTTCGCCGAATACGATCTTGGAGTGGCGAGTCTGATAATTACAGTAAAGCGATTGCCATCTGACTTTCGTAGCCACAAGGGGAATCAGACAAATTTTTCAGATAATGATTAAACATTCAGCCAACCTCACGGTGTATTCCCTCGCCGAAATCATCATTTTCCTGTAGGTAATATTAATATGATGGTGGGAATATATCACTTTTAAAAGTAGAAAAAAGTACTTTCAACCCTTACCCACGTGTACAGATTACTATATAAATACTTACTTACTTTACTTACAGGTTCTGTAGATTTAAAAAAGTAATTTTTAACAAAAAAAAAAACCGACTTCCAAAATTTATTTTTTGCTTTTTAGTTTAGTTATTTTGGAAGTCGGTTTTTTTGTTAAAAATATTTTATTTTACCATTTTAAGTGATAGGCAGAAAAAGCTAGCATGCTTCTCGAAAGAGAAGACGACGGCTATTTGAGACCGAAAATCACGGTAATAATAGTCCTGAGTTAGTCAGCTTTGAATGCTGTAAATCGTTGAGGAATTCCCTCAAATGTCAATGACTTCCATCATCAGGTATACTGCAGACCTTCATTATACACAATCCATATAGGTGCAAAGTTCTCATCAATATAAATGAATTAAGTCCAAACAGGAGGTAGTTACTGAAAACCGTTCTGGAGTTCCCTAAATTGTCTTTCATTCTCATCATCAGACCCTTAATGACAGTCACGACCAATCTTGGTGAAAAGTGCTCATCAATACGAATCATTCAAGCCCAAACACAAGGCAACTACTCCAAATAGTCAAGGAGATTCCACGACGGTCTTCCACCTTCAACATAACGATTTACTGTATAACTTTATTGTAATTCATAAAGGTGCAAAGCTTCCATCGATATAAATAAATTAGGTCCAAACACGATGTAGTTACTGTAAAACGGTCAGGAGTTTCCTGAGCTGTCTTTCGTTTTCATCATCAGACCCTTACTACCAATCTTTGTGCATACGAATCATTCAAGCCCAAACACAAGGCAACTACTTCAAATAGTCAAGGAGATCCCTTGATTGTCTTCCGGCTCCATCATCAGGTCGAGTTCGAACATCGGCAAGTTGTAGCGTTGTCAAAAGCCTACTAAAACCACATGCAAAAGCACCACTCGTACCTTCAATTTTTGAAAGTTCTCAATTTCTCTGGTCTTCCATCATCAGATCCTGATTTCCTTATCATGGGACCATTCTAAAACTATCTCCTTGCCAACAAAAAAAGAATTATCAAAATCGGTTCATTAATAACGGAGAAATCGGCGAACAAACATAAAAAAGCATATATATATGGTCGAATTGAGAACCATCCTTCTTTTTGGAAGTCGAGTAAAAATATACACACGTTTTGGATTGTTGGTTTTTTCTTACAAAAAATTAGGTTGGTGAAGTTACGCTAGTTTGGTAGTATCAATATATCATGATACTTAAATAATCGTTTTTACAAGCAATTTGTCCCGTATTCTGTTTGGTCATGGTCACTACATTAGAAAGGGACACACTACCATCGGGAGCTGTCTCGCACCGGCTCGGTTTTTGCGCCTTAGTGCACAGTCTAGTTTAGAGTATAAGGTCTTTGTTTTTTGCAAATAGGCCATACATAACTCGGCACTTTTACACGTCAAATTATATGTAAAAAACTAGATCAAGCCGGCATTTCCTATCTGACTACTCTGAGAAGAAATGCCGAAACAAACTCAGAGGTCAGTCTCTTTTCAAGTCCAGAAAATGTTAAAAATAATAGAATGTGTGAAAACCGTGCAAGTTCATTTTGTAGTGGTATTTTGAGGAAAGAACCACACCAGTTTATGTGGTGGACCCGTTCTGAAGACAAGTACGCAAGTGTCAGTTTGCAACATATGCAATACCGATCAAAGCAACATTTATGTCTTCTACTTAACCTAATGCAAATTCGGACACGGCACTCAGTTGTTGAAAACCGGCGTGTGAGGTTACCAGAGGCCCAATCCTTCCCTTCCAACATCCCTCCCTAATCCGTAATATCCAAAACCCTTATCCCCAAAAGGCCGGTAACGCACTCATAACTACGTTGCGTTGGGTGTCCATGGGCGGCGCCGATTGCTTACCATCAGGTAATGCGTTTGCTGACGTACTCCATTAGATAATAATAAGTTAATATTTTTATTTTTGTTTCAGCTGATGTCAAATCGGAGAATATTAAATATGAGGCGCCTGATCCGGAGTTTGATGACGATATTTATGAAGAAGACGATGATGATGATGATGATGGTAAGTTAGACCTTGTGATAATAATCTGTTCACTTTTCAGTAGGGGTAAGAGGGGGGGAGAGGAATGAAGTATGGTCACAAGGACACCTACATCCTTGAATGTCGTAATTAGAAAACATATCTTTTTGTAAGAAAATTTTTAATTATCAAATGACTTTTCTCTTTTTAACCCCCGACGGAAAAAGGGGTGTTATAAGTTTGACGTGTCTGTATGTCTGTCTGTCTTTAGTTAGTTAGGCAACAAAAAACATTACGATCCTTGCTCGACCCTAGTACACGATTCCAAAACCCAACAAAAAAATGGCTGGCGTATTGCATATGACAGTCATTTTGGCAGTTTTTTTTTAAATTAGCATGACTTGATTCTCTATAATCCGTTCCACCATCGTACCTTCAGACAATCGGCAAAACTTCATCGCTTCGTGGTAGATATCCCTCACATTTTTTTTGTTATGTAATAGATCGGTAAACGAGCAGACGGATTACCTGATGGTAAGTAATCAGCGCCGCCCATGGATACCCGCAACGTAGGGGTTACGAGTGCGTTGTCGACCTTTTAGGGATTAGGGATTTGGAGATTTAGGGATTGAGGAGGAATTGGGGGTGGAGAAGGATTGGGCCTCCGGTAACCTCACTCACACGGTTTTCTGTGAGGCCGTGGTATCAGTCCGGTCGAGCCGGCCCATTCGTGCCGAAGCATGGCTCTCCCACACTTTAAAATATACGCACGAAGCTCGTCTCCTCCAGTTTGATAATCAGAACAGCTAAGAAGTGGAATTTTTTGCCGGAGTCTGTGTTCCCCGAAGGGTATAAACCTGGGTGTCTTCAAGGCCCGAGTGAAAAGGTTGCTTATGGGTAGGCGTGCTCCATCGTAGGTCGCATCATAGCTTACCACCAGGAGTGATAGTCAGCAAATGTCTGCCCATCTATATTTACTAATATTATGAAGCTGTATAGTTTCTTTTTTAACGCGCTAATCTCTGAAAGTAGGTACTGGTTGGGATTAAACAATTTCGTTTTGTGTTTGTAAGTCCATTTATCAAGGAAGGTTATAGGCTATAAAACATCACACTACAATCTGAAGAAACCGAGCAGCGGTTGAAACCTCGCTAAAATAGCTAATTACTAAATAAAAAATAATTTATATTTTTCAGAAATTTTGTCTGAAGTCAAAAACGAGATTACACAGAAGGAAGCCATTTTAAAATCGAAGATTACAAGATTGGCGACATCTAAAAAGAAAAAAGATAAAGGTGAGTTACATTGTAACATACTTAATATAACATAACATGTTATCAAATGGCCCCAAGTTAGAAGGTTATAAGGAAAACTCAATAATCACTTCATAGTATAAAACAAAGTCGCTTTCTCTGTCCCTATATCCCCATGTATACTTAAATCTTTAAAACTACAAACTTTTTAAGTGATTAAAGTTCGGGTGGTTTGGGAGGTCTATATAACAATAGCATCCATTAAATTGTGGAGAAATTTAGTTTCGATCAGCGTTGCACCCGTGTGAAGCCGCTAGTTTTTAAATAGTATAAAATGGTTAGTGTTACACTGTTCTCAAATATTCGAATGTACAAAAGAATCTGTATGTAAACCGTTTTAAAAAGAGTAACCATGGAGTTTCATGCTCATTCTTCTCCATCGCAATCTACAATTTGGAACGAGCAAATAGCTTCACTAGAGGACTGACCGACAGGCTGACACTTTTTATTTTTAAGTTTTGTTTGACGTGCAAAAGTGCCTGAAAGGGAATATTTGTGCCCTAATTGATAAATGATTTCGACTTTAGAAATTCAATCCAAAACCATAAAGTGTCGGTCATATAATAAAACAAACGTGTTTTTATTTCAGATTGGTCGAAAATTGCAGAACGGCGGGGCAACGGGCCCATTTTACGAGAAAATTCATTAAAACTACTCGCCAATTCTACTATTTTAATATTTCAATGGGACAAAAGTCGGTACAGATGTTTTTGCTGCAAAGAACCATTTTCAGACGTGAATTTGTTAAGAGAACATAGCACAAACACGCACTCGCTCAAAGAAATCGAGAAAAAAATAATCGATAAACAAAATCGTTTTGTGAAAGTCGACGTATCGATTTTAAAATGCAAACTTTGCAACGAAACGTTAGAGAATTTAAAAAGTTTACAAACGCATTTGACAGATGTACACGATTTGACATTTGAGCTAGGCGACCATCTTTTGATACCTTTTAAAATTGGCGGGGAATTGTCGTGTCAGTTGTGCGGGGAAAAGTTCGAAGTATTCAGACTTTTAAATATACATATGAATAAACATTATCAAAATCAAGTGTGTCACATATGCGGGGCGGGGTTTTCGACGGCATTATTCTTAACTATTCACAAATCTAGGTGCCACAAAGCAATTAAGTGCAAATTTTGCGAAATGACGTTTATAAGGCGACCAGAGAAGCGGCAGCACGAAATTCAAATCCATAACGCTAAATACGAGCGTAAATTGAGATTTCCGTGTCCATATTGTACGGAGAGGTTTTTTCAGGAGAATTTAAGAGTCGAACACTTGATAAAGGAACATGGTTTTAAGAAACCGGAGTTTCAATGTGAATTCTGTTCAAAGTGTTTTATAACTAAAAGTTTGTGTACAAATCATACTAAGATCGTTCATTTAAGAGAGAGGAAGCATGAATGCGATATATGCCATGATATGTTCTTTAGACAATGTGATGTCATTAGGCATAAAGTTAAACACACGGGAGAAAAGAATTTTTCGTGTATGGAGTGCAATAATTGTTTTGCGAGCAAAGATTCTTTGCGACGCCATATGAAAAGGGCACACGATTGTCGTAATATAAAATAAAAGATTTGATTTTACTGTTTTGTTTTATTACCTTCGTTTTTTTCTCGACGAATATCGGCTATATGAATGGGTCGGCTCGACCGGAGTGATACCACGGCCTCACAGAAAACCGGCGTGAAATAAGTAAAGAGTTGTGTTTCGCCGTGTGAGTGAGGTTACCGGAGGCCCAATCTTTCCACTACCCCAATCCGTTCCCTTTCCCAAAATCTCCAAATCCCAAATACCCAAAAAGTCGGCAACGCACTCATAACTCCTTCTTCGTTGCGGGGGTCCATGGGCGACGCTGATTGCTTACCATCAGGTAATCCGTTTGCTCGTTTGCCGACCTAAGTATCACACATAAAAAAACATATCTTCGCTTATTATTTCTCCGTGGAGCGGAGCGGTGACTCGTTGCGCTTAACCCGCAACCCCGGCTGATTGCGACATACTTACCAGTCTAAATTGGCGGGCTTATTTCTGTACAATGGGTCCAATAACAACATTGGTTAAGTACTAACTCAAGACAAGATAGCGGCAAGCGCAATACGGTGTCGCGGCTTCGACCTGGAGCAGGAGAAGGATCTAGGAGGTTAAGTCGGATATTATTAGGTAAGATATTATTTAAATAATTCTCCCCTCATAAAAAAGGTCGGAGAAGAAGTTAGACAAGTGTGATAAATACCAGAAATAAAACAACAGAATAAATATAAACAGTTTTTTATTTCATTATTATAATAGTGTCCGTTACCCAGGCCAGATGTTGTCGACAATGGTCATTTGAATCTTATAGATAATTAGTTGTGCGGCTTCTGTAATTGTTGCGCACATTTTTAAATTTGTTGCGCTTATAGTTTTTTAATTATTTCACAAAAACATTTCCTGCTGGCGTAACGTTACCACAGCCAGACCTTTTTCTTTCTAATGGGAATATTTAAATAAATATTAGCTATAAAATTAGTTGTCTAGATAAAGTAAATGTTGTGCCTTATTTTGTATTTGTTCTTTCTTCGGTTGCGAAGTTATTCGAGATTTTGCTGCGGTAACGTTTTTGGTTTTGCTAGATCTTTGAAATGGTTAAGCGGATTCTTATCATATTTTGTACACGACTTCCGAGGACTTAGTTTAAATTTGTTGTGCAATAACAAAACCAAAATAATGCATATTTTAAAGGTTTTTTCATTAAATAGAAAAACACTTCAATTGGCCCCAGCACTCTCAATAAGAAGTCTAAAGACTTACTTTAAACGTAATTTTAAAGCTTGTAACTGCCTTCAAATGTATGTGAAGTTTCATTAGTATCCCGTAAGTATTTAACAAGTAATGATGATATTCAGTTCTTCACGAGCACGGTCTTAATGCACGCGGTGTTATTTGGCCACTGGATTGGATATATGAACTGAATGTTATGTCAATAATTAGTTGTTTAGATCAGTTGTATATCAGTAAAATTTCAGCTCAATACATTGGATAATTAATGAGATAATACTATGAAAGTCATTAGGAAGTGAATGACCGTGGTAAGCCGACCAAGTTTAGGTGGTTACGAAAAAGCGAAAACGCAGAACATTGTACTATCTTTTGAAATGTTTAGTATAATACACCTTACAATTTTGGTACAGACGCGTACACTGTTTAATACCTATATAATAATAATATAAAAGAAAACATTATCTTCCAGTTCCACAAAAATATCAAAAATCACCGCTAGAGCATGCCGTTCGGTAGGACGCAGGAGGAGTGAGGTGAAGGGGTAATACATTGTTTGCATATCGCACTCAGTTTTGCCAGAAGGTTACTTTTGTAACCTTTTTGATGATTTTTGAACTGCATTTTGAAATAGAAATGACAAGGACGGGTGATGTTTAATCGGTTGCTAAGCAACACAAGTTTTTATAAGTAAGGGAGTAAAAGTTCAATTGAAATGATTATTTTACCTTTCAATAAAAAATCTTGAATAATCATGTAGTTTTTTTTTAAACTTTTGTACATGTCTGTACAAAATTTATAACACTATCCTACATGTTTTAGAAGGTACCATAATGTTCTGCGTTTTCGCTTTTTCGTAACCACCTAAACTTGGTCGGCTTACCACGGTCATACACTTCCTAATGACTTTCATAGTATTATCTCATTAATTATCCAATGTATTGAGCTGAATTTTTACTGATATACAACTGATCTAAACAACTAATTATTGACATAACATTCAGTTCATATATCCAATCCAGTGGCCAAATAACACCGCGTGCATTAAGACCGTGCTCGTGAAGAACTGAATATCATCATAACTTGTTAAATACTTACGGGATACTAATGAAACTTCACATACATTTGAAGGCAGTTACAAGCTTTAAAATTACGTTTAAAGTAAGTCTTTAGACTTCTTATTGAGAGTGCTGGGGCCAATTGAAGTGTTTTTCTATTTAATGAAAAAAACCTTTAAAATATGCATTATTTTGGTTTTGTTATTGCACAACAAATTTAAACTAAGTCCTCGGAAGTCGTGTACAAAATATGATAAGAATCCGCTTAACCATTTCAAAGATCTAGCAAAACCAAAAACGTTACCGCAGCAAAATCTCGAATAACTTCGCAACCGAAGAAAGAACAAATACAAAATAAGGCACAACATTTACTTTATCTAGACAACTAATTTTATAGCTAATATTTATTTAAATATCCCCATTAGAAAGAAAAAGGTCTGGCTGTGGTAACGTTACGCCAGCAGGAAATGTTTTTGTGAAATAATTAAAAAACTATAAGCGCAACAAATTTAAAAATGTGCGCAACAATTACAGAAGCCGCACAACTAATTATCTATAAGATTCAAATGACCATTGTCGACAACATCTGGCCTGGGTAACGGACACATTATAATACTTAATTGTAATATAATAATGTCTATCAAGTATATAACTTAAAATTAGAACATTAATATAAGATTCAACCTATAACAGAGTGATTTTGTAACCGAAAATAAATATATTAAAAAAAACAATTTTTAATCTTGCAACTTCATATAAATCTGCTTCTATACTTCTATGTGCTGTCAATCAGAACTGTCAGCAAATGTCAAATATGACTGTAGCCAAGGTCGCGGGTCACACTAAGGTACCGCGGCCTCTACCCGGAGCAGAAGAAACGGGGTATCCGTTATAAGCCGTATTATAGAGTCTTACTAACTAAAAGTCCCCGTCCGTACGTTCGGCTTAGATTCTGATCGGGCAGCGATATACCCTTGCTCGCTCTGCAGACACGTAATCAGAAAGAGTCTGACACTTCATCTCTCCTCACCGAGGGCATAAGAATAAGAAGTTGACTCCTACTTATAAAACTGGCAGGAGGCAAATTAGAAGTTGAATTACCTGATGGTATGGTAGCACTGCCCAGAGACACCCGCAACATTAGAGAATGCTCTTTTAAAAGTTCGACATAAAAACACAAAATCATAAAAAAAATTCGATTGCACAAATCACTCGAAACATAAAATTTATTTAATACATAAAATTGCTTATATACATAAAACAATTAGAATCTATATTAGGTAGGTATATATAAACTACAGTTTGTAGGACGATTTTTATATATTGCACAATATTTTACAACCTTAACAAGTTTATTAAAAAATTTAAAATAACGACTTACATCCGGTTTCTGAAAGGCTTGTCAACGCTAAAATTAACTAATCTCCTGTTAAATCTTTTGTCAAGTCATCTGATTGGTTGTTGATAATTCAGTCAACCAATCAGATGATTTGACAAGAGATTAAATTGATTTTAACATTGATCAGCTTTCGGAAACCGGGTGTTTCTCACGTGAATTAACTGAGAAGAGCTACAATTTTCAAGTCACAACACAGGACCTACCATGGCGTGTTAAAGCGTCAATCTTCCGGGCGAGAAAGAGGGATGGAGCTATACATCTTTTATAGCTCCATCTCTCTTTCTCGCCCGGAAGATTGACGTTTAACACTTCATGGTAGGCCTACAGGACTCTTAATGATGAACGGACGACTCAGAACTACAACATTTTTTCTCGAAATAGTTCACGTAATAGTAATATTTCAATGAGGGTTACCGCATGTGATTTTGCCGCCAGGATCGCTAGTGTAGCTTAGATCATTTGTCCAAAAATGAAGCTGTCAAAATTTGATATGGTCTATGGGCTAAGCTGACTAACTAATGGTAAACAATTTTGATATGTCTTTTTATATTAAAGAGGTCGTATAAAATACATACATAGATTATTTAAATTTAGTTTTTTAACTAACATCGAATTAGATAAATACTTACAATCAGGTATTACATTTTGACATATATCTAAACTATTCAAACTAATATTATAAACGCGAAAGTAACTCTGTCTGTCTCTCTGTCTTATCTTCACGCCTAAACTACTGAACCTATTTGTGTAAAATTTGGTACAGACATAGTTTGGAACTCGAGAAAGGACTTAGGATTGTTTTTAAACCAAAACCAGGAAAACCAGCTAGTTTTAGTTAAAAAGACGTGTCAAAATCGTTTACATTTAGTTAATTACCTAAACCGACAGACCATATCATAGACACGAACAAACATGACCTAACGTGACACTAGCGCCATCTGTTGAGCAAAAAAACGGTAGCCCTCACTAAAAGAATAAAAAACTTTATAACTGAAACAGTCTACGGTCATTCAAACTTAAAACGGAACCTTAAATCAATTGAACACAAGAAAACAATTAATTTATATATTTATTGTTTTGAATTGTCAAAATTAATAAGTTCTCTATGAATTTCGTACGAGATTATGTGTTGTGACGTCATGTTTCTTTTGCTTCAAAAAAGCATTCTTATTTCTAGCATTTTATCTTTAAAAATATGAACATTAGTAAAAAAAATTTTTTTCTTTAAATTTTTTTCCGCATGGTCTGTTTCCGAGTTATAAGTATGTATCTACTTTATAATGATTATTTAGACACCACTGGCATATAGTGAAGGAAAACATCGTGAGGAAACCTGGACTTATAATTCTAATTACAAGTTTCTTGAGCAAGTGTTGTGAT